GAGGTTGGCCGTCACCACCGGCCCGGCCACCGCCAGGGCGCAGGTCCCCAGGGCGCTGTCGATGATGGTGGCGATGGCGCCGCCGTGGGTCAAGCTTTGGGGTGGGAGGGACACAGAGAGGGGAAAGGGGGGGTGAGTGACAGCGCCGGAGGTGGGGGATGCATAGGGGGGGTGATATCATGGAGTTGTTGGAGTTGGAAGGGACCTTCTGGAGATCATCTGGTCCAACTCCTCCAACGGAGGGTGGGTTGCCCAGAGAACATCACTCGGGGCTGCTCCTCAGGGGTCGGTACTGGGACTAGTGATGTTCAACGTCTCGTTGGAGACACGGGCAGGGGGATGGAGGGGACCCTCAAGGAGTTTGGTGGTGACACCAAGCTTGGTGGTGTGGGTCACACCCCAGAGAGAAGGGATCTGCCATCCAGAGGGAGCTGGACAGGCTGGAGAAGTGGGGTCTGTGCAAACCTCATGAGGTTCCACCAAGCCAAGCGCCCTCAGGGTCCTGCCCCCTGGACGTTGGGGGAATGGCCGGAGAGCAGCCCCGAGGAGAAGGACTTGGGGGGTGTTGGTGGGTGAGAATCTCCACATCAACCCAAAAAGCCAACCCCATCCTGGGCTTGGTTTGGTGCCATCAGCGAACTCCCCGGGGGCTCCGCTCTGTCCCCTCCTCCCGGTCATCGATGAAGATGTTGAGCAAAACCGGACCAAGTATTGACCCCTGGGGGACACCCCTGGGTGACGGGCCTCCAAATTAACCCCACTCCGTTAATTACAACCCTCTGAGTGCTGCCAGGACTCCAACCCACCTCACCCCCTCCTCGCCCAGCCCACCCTTCCCTAATTTCCTAACGAGGATGTTACGGGAGATGGTGCCGAAGCCGAGGTGGAGCTGGGGGACACATGGGGGGGGTGATATCATGGAATTGTTGGAGGTGGAAGGGACCTTCTGGAGATCTTCTGGCCCAACTCTCCTGCTGGAGCCAGGTTGCCCAGAGGACATCACTTGGGGCTCCTCAGGGGTCGGTACTGGGACTAGTGATGTTCAACGTCTCGTTGGAGACACGGGCAGGGGGATGGAGGGGACCCTCAAGGAGTTTGGTGGTGACACCAAGGTCGGTGGTGTGGGTCACACCCTGGAGAGAAGGGATCTGCCATCCAGAGGGAGCTGGACAGGCTGGAGAAGTGGGGTCTGTGCAAACCTCATGAGGTTCCACCAAGCCAAGCGCCCTCAGGGTCCTGCCCCCTGGACGTTGGGGGAATGGCCGGAGAGCAGCCCCGAGGAGAAGGACTTGGGGGGTGTTGGTGGGTGAGAATCTCCACATCAACCCAAAAAGCCAACCCCATCCTGGGCTTGGTTTGGTGCCATCAGCGAACTCCCCGGGGGCTCCGCTCTGTCCCCTCCTCCCGGTCATCGATGAAGATGTTGAGCAAAACCGGACCAAGTATTGACCCCTGGGGGACACCCCTGGGTGACGGGCCTCCAAATTAACCCCACTCCGTTAATTACAACCCTCTGAGTGCTGCCAGGACTCCAACCCACCTCACCCCCTCCTCGCCCAGCCCACCCTTCCCTAATTTCCTAACGAGGATGTTACGGGAGATGGTGCCGAAGCCGAGGTAGATGCCATCTGCTGCTCTCCCCTCACCCGGCCCCCCCCGTCCACAGAATCACAGAATCTTCTAGGTTGGAAGGGACCTTAAAGATCATCTTGTCCAACCATCAACCGAACTGACAAAAATAGACACCCCCACAACAAACAAGGAGCATCAGCACTAAACCATCCCTCCCAGCACCACATCAACCCGGCTTTTGAACACCTCCAGGGATGGGGCCTCA